CCGCCGCCCGCCGCCGCAGCCGCCGCGCTGCAGCCCTCCCGCCAGCCCGGCCCGTACCAAATGCTGCGGAAACACCGGGGGGAGCAGGGAACGGCCTCGCAGCTCAGCGGGATGCGTCTCCCCCTGCCAACCTGTCTGCGTACGCGCACGCGCGGGCGCACCTAGCGGAGGCGAGTGAGACGGACCACCTGCCCGGGGGCACCTAGGGGAAGCCCCGCGCGCCGGGCACTCCCGCCCCCCCTCCCCCTGCCCCAGGCCAGGTGGTTCGCTCCTCCTCCTCCCGCGGCTCTTGCAGCTGCTGCTGCTGCTGCTGCGGGGGCGGGGCCGGACTGAGGCTGCGCGGCGCGAGAGCAGAGCGCCGGGCGCGGGGTTGTTGCAGTTGGCCTAGTGCTGGCGGCGCGAGCTGCAGTGGGGAGGTGGTGCTCTGCGGGGGGTTGTGCCCTCACATGCGTGTTTGTGCTCCCGTGGCCCCAAGTCCGCCGCCCCCTCTGGGGAGCCAGCGGCCCCGCGTGAAAAAACAAAGTCTGCTGCCGCCAACAGGGGTCACAGCGCCGCCGCCGCCGGAGATGCCGCTGTAGAGGGCGCTAGAGTAGCTAAGACTCCCTCGTTTCCTTCCTGGCCCCCAGGGTAGACGCAGGGGCTATGAGCCAAGACTACCCTGCGAGAGTAGACGCACATAGCACCACGAGGCTGGCCCTCTGCCTGAAGAAGGGCGTTTGTCCCCAGAAGCTTGCAAGGAACAATTTTTGCAATGATTGGGTTGGTCTAATAAAAGATATTACATCTACTCAAAGAACCTGGTCCTTAGACCAGCACACAACCCCTGAGAGGAAGACACGCTTCTGTCTGGGCTGCACCATGTCCCTGAACCGAAGCATGGTCCCAGGGGCATGCTGCTGCTCTGGTGGCCAAACGCTGGGGCAGAAGGGCTGGCCTGCACCAGGGGCTGTGTATAAACGGCTTTCGCCAATTGGTGTCTGGCCTGTGGGTGGTCCTGCCACAGCCGGGTCCTGTGCCTTCCCTCCAGCACTGTTCTCGGTCTGCATCCTGCTTTGCTGTTCTTCCTGGTCTTGTCTGTAAGATGTTCCCCCTTCTTTCCATCTCTCTCACCCCTCCTCCCTCAAAGGCCCAGCCACTGATGCCCCCTGGCTCCTGCTCTCCCTCTCCAGGCTTCTCTTTCAGCCTCAGTTTCCTCTCCCCCCACTCTTGTGCTCACCCAGTGCCAGGTCTAGCCTTGCCCAACTGTGCTTCTCAAATCTGCCTCTTGTCCCCCCTCACAACCTGCTCTCCATCACTTAACTGGTTGTCAGCCCCAGTCCCTTTCCTCAGCTGGCCTTAGTTTTTCTCCCCAGCACCACCTTCTACACGGCCCTCCCAGCCATTGCCAAACTCAGTAGTTTGCCATTCCCTACACTACTGTTTCTTCTCCAAATCTACTCCTTCACAAATCTACTTCTCTAAATCTACTCCTCCTAACCAGTCCTACTCTTGTCCACTCTGCAGTCAAGTTGGGGAGCTTCCTCCATACTGCCTGAACCAATGGAGGCTTTTGACATGCAGAAGCTCACAGTTTCCAAACTCAACCTAGGCCGCTAGAAATGCGAGGAAAGTCCTGCTCAGCAGCAAGATGCAGTGTGCTCAGTTTAATAGGAATCTAAGCAGTTTTAGCTGTTAAATTCTAGCAATTGTCTACTGAATATGTAGAAAAGGCAGTCTTTTATAACTCTGTCAAATTTGGCCAAATTTTTGTGGAGACCGCAGAAGGCACATCCGAGATACAAAAGTCACTCCCTTATCGAAATCAAGGCCCCACTCCAAAATATGAGAGGGACAAAGGTTTATCTTAACAAAGGGGCACAAACATTTTTTTAACATGAGGAAGGCATTATGTTTTCCGTTCAACTCATTTTCAACAATAGCTAAACTATACGGCTGAAAATTAAAACCACAACATAACCAAACAAATCAGCCAAAGCCAAGATACCCGGTATTGAAAATTGCAGGCTAGTTAACATTTGGCAAAGATATATAAGCAACTGCTAACAGTGTTTTTAAAGAGGAACAACAAGAGATGCTTTCACCATCATCTACAATGTTGTTTTACTACATTTATTAAATTCAAAATCCATGACAAATACTCCTTCACTTTGGACCATTTCCATTAAAATGTGAATCAAGATTTCATTCTACACTGTCCAAACTGGCTTTATAAGTTTCTTTTAAAAGACAGTGTTGGGTACTCTAAAAATACTCCCAGTTAGAATTTTCTTTCACATATGGAGAACTGTCCTGTCGCATGCTACATGAAGGATCAATGTGTATATGGATTTCCTTGGCTACACAATTTTTCATTTAATTGTGTAACTAAATTTGTCTTCCATATCAAGTTCAAAACATTAACTTTTTAAAAGAATCTTTCTGGACTCTCCAGAGAACATTGTGACCTTCTACATCTTTGAAGTAGTCTACTGCAATCTGTAATTAAATACATTTCAGTTCCTGTCAAAATGGCTTTTGAAGAAGATACTATTAAAATCCAAGAGATAGTGTAATGAAAAAGTGATATACAAATTAAATAGAGTGCATTAAAACAATGTATTATATAAAGGAAATT